ATGCCTATTTTATATCTGCTTTTCACTCTAACATAAACACTTTACTATCTCTTAATAAACTCACCAAATATTTTTTAAATGGCTACATCCAAGTCCCTTGGGAGATAGATACACACTTACTAAACACTCTTACTATTGGACATCCGGGTTTTTGCTACCTTCACTTCGCATGAACTTCCAAAGGGAAACGCTTTTGTACTTCATCTGCTAAAATAACGAGCTCTGCTGCAGCTCTCAGTCAGGATGGCCTTTACACGCCCTAACCAGAAGACTGCGCAATGCTCCTAATCACACGACCGGATAAAAACCAAAGAGGACAACGGCCCCATCGCATATATATCTTGGTCTGCCCAAACCTCTGTTTGTTGCTTCATTCATCTCAAGCTGATGCCACCTGCCCTTCTGAAACAGACAAACTTTCTGAGTTTAATCTTAAAAATAAGTTACTCTCAGCCTAGGCTGGTTGTCTCGGGCAGCAGTAAGGATGACCACAATAATGGTATCTTGCTTTCCATGGATTACTAGTGCTCTATTGTGAGGTGCTGTAAGGTAGCAACATACGAGGCCAACACGGAGACTTTGCACACTAACATTCTTTTATGCCGCAGCCGAGGCTGTCTACCATTGATGAAGAGCAGCAGAACAGCCAGACTCCAAACAGGTTTTCCATGATAGCCACTGCCACAAACTATCTGAAGACATCTCACAGATCCACCCCTGAGACTTACTTACCGAAGGCACTGAAGAGCTGGTAAAGGTCGCTGGTCTTCCATTCTTTGGGGAATGTCACATGGAGAACGTGATCACGTTTGGGCTGTACTACAAGACAAATTTTTGATGAAAGGTTGGTAACTGAAAAGTGACCAAGTACCACAGTGGTTCCTGGGTGAAGCTAAGCCCAGGCTAATTTGAGGCACTGAAACGAATGCTCAGGACTACCAAACAGCTCCTAAAAGTATTCCTAGGACTGGCGGGGAGTCTGCCAGAGCAGCTGTGTAGACTTGGGCTCTAAGACTCTGTAATGTCCACAACAATCTGAACCCTAGCAATGCTACCCAGAAGTACCTTCTCTCCTCGTGAAGTTCCTGTGCAAATTATTGAAAGAAAAAGAGAGACACTCTGTTCAAGAAGTTTTACTTAACATTTAATTTTCTTTTAATCTGGTTTTCTGCATGTTTATTTAGCTTTTAAAAAAATTTCAAAGTATGGGAACCAGCAGTCAGCGTAATGGCTATGTCACTGGACTCCCACGTAGTCGACCGCGGTTCGTGTCCTGGACCCGGTGGCTTAAAACTCACGCCGGGCGCGTGTGCGTGCATGCCCAAGATCCCGAGAGGAGAATGGAGGAGAAGGGATTGCGGCGTGACCATCCCCCCTGGGGGGTGATTTCTCGCTTTCTGTCTCTATGTCTCTCTCTGTCTGTCTGGCGAGCGCACGCGCCCTACAGTGAAAATCTCTCAAAAAAAAAAAATTTCAAAGTTCTATCCAAATTAAATGTACTGATCATTTTTAAGTAGAGGCAGTCCTGAGTCAGTCTTGTGTTCCAACCCTGAGACCACCACTTAGCTATGCAACTAACTCTGGGCAAGAGACCTAACCACACTAACCACTCTCAGCTATACATCAGAATGGTGATACTCAGCTTATGAAATCCTGTGAGAATGACAGCCTAGAATATAAACCTAATGGGGAGTGCAACACCATAGTATGTCTTCAAACTACTATTTCAGCAGTTATTCTGACCAAGGACAGTTCGCCCATATCTACATGCAAGTGATGTATACTGAGAAAAATAAACCAAGGTAGAAAAAGAGCAATGAAATACAAGAATAAAGCAGAGGAGCAAACAACCACCTTCCAAATAAATTAAAATTTCCAAGGGTTTTAAAGAAAATGTAAAAAACAACCTACTAAACTTAAATATATTCATACTCAAGTAACTGGAAATAGAAATATTATCAAGTTACTGACACAGCTAGTATATTTTAAAATCTATTACAGATATTTATACGAAATGGTGAAACTAGAATATTGAGTGAAAATGAAATAGTGAAGAAAAGATATTGTTTAAAATTTTGGGACCAGCAGATGGAGTAATGTTATGTTGCTGGACTCCCACATGGCCAACTATGATTTGAGTCTTGAACCCAGAGGCTTAAAAACATGCTGGGTTTGTGTGCGTGCATGCCCAAAATCTCCAGAGGAGAACAGAGGAGAAGAAACTGCAATATGACTATCTCCCCGGGGGATGATTTCTCACTTTCTATCTCTCTCTGTCTTTCCAGCATGCACACACACCCTATAGCAAAAATTTCTCTTAAAAAAAAAAAAAAATCGGGACCAGTAGTTAGTGTAATGGCTATGTCGCTGGACTCCCATTTAGTCGACCACAGTTTCAGTCCCGGACCTGGTGGCTTAAACTCACGCCAGGCGTGTGTGCGTGCGTGCCCAAGATCCTGAGAGGAGAACGGAGGAGAAGGGATTGCAGCGTGGCCATCTCCCCTGGGGAGTGATTTCTCGCTTTCTGTCTCTCTGTCTCTGTCTTTCTGGTGAATGTACACATCCTATAGCAAAAACCTCTCTACCTCCCCCCCCCAAAAAAAAAATCCAATCCTCCATAAACTAGAAAATATAAATAAAGAGATGACTAACAAAGGCCCAAGGGGCCCGTTAACTTAAGCATACTATTTATATCAACCACAAAATCACTGCCCATCTTTAAGTAAAAAAAGCTCTTTCTTCGGTAATATTTTTTCTGTTATCCCTTCCAGACCACCCACTTAAATGTGCAGATGTAATGAGAATACAAAAATGCACTTACAGTCTGGTCCTTCCAAGTTTAGATAGGGGATATCCATGACTCTCATAAGAAATAGCCTACAAAAAGAAAAGAAAACTACTTCATGAGCTAATTTCTTTTTAAAAATCCATACAGACATCTACTAAATTCTCCAGTAAAAGTTCCCTGACTATATTACTGTATTCTACAATCATTCTTAAAGTTCTTGGGATTCATTCCAGGGCCAGTCCCATAGCACAGCAGTTAAGACACGTATATAGAGACCTGGATTCTGCATGGCTGACTGGAGTTAGAATCCCAGTTCAGGAAGCTTGAAAACACACAGGGCATGTATGCATGTGTGTGTGCCCAAGATTCTGACAGAATGAAGAAATGGAGGAAAATGGAGGATTCTAGTGTGACCACCTCCCTTATTGTTAATGTTATTGAAAACATACTAACAGTAGGGATGGTCCATTGGCATAGGAGTTAATGTGCTACCAGATCCCACATGTCAACTGCAGTTTGAATCCCAGGCCTGGTCAGCCTGAAATACACTGGGCATGCACTCAAGTGCCCAAGATGCAACAGGCTGGAAGAGAGGGACTGAGGAGTGACCAGATCCTATGAAGGGTCTCTCTTTCTTTCTCTCACTTGTAGGTGCGTGTACATATACTCCATCATAAATTAAGAGAAAAAAAAATTCAAACATATAAAAAGTACAAAGCAAAACAATCCTTGATTCAAAAAACTATCACACTGAAACAAATGACAGCAGTCATTTTATGTATGGCTTCCAAAATGGATACAAAGGCACTCACAAAAAGAAGTACTTGTGAATTACAACTCTCTGTGATGCCATTCAATTTTCTCTTAATTGCAAGATTATGAACAAAATATCAGGCATTCTATTGTCTGTAAGATGATTTTAATGAGTCTGACTTCGATAACAATATACTGTGCATTTCTTGGAGAGGCTACATTATACAGCAAATTAAAAAGGCAATCCAAGAGCCCAACAAGTAATTAGTTTGGCTTCACTGACCTGCAATTAAGGCACATTATTACCAGGCATTCAAAAGCTAAGCAGGGCATGATCTAGTTTACAAATGGAACCAGCAGCATGAACAAGGCTGTTCTGTTAATGTCAGGAAACACACACACACACACACACACACACTGAAGTCTTGGCACTCTGTGGTTTGAGGACTTGTCTGTTCTACAATTTAATAAACCAAATCCTATGGCTAAGAAATCATATTTATTTTTAGTTCACTCATTTAGGCTCCAGTGTATTATTCTGATTTTGTAAGCTGTTCTACCCAATTTAATCTATACCACCTCCAATGCCAAAAGACAGTGAGACAGACACAGCACCTGACATCGTAGTCAATGACGAGGGCAGCTATGGTGATTATTCCCAACCAGAACGGGAAAGTTATCCCCACGTTAGGAAGCTCAGTATCCTTATGCTTCATTTAAGTTTCAATTCTCCATTGAACAGATTTAGAGATAGCCCCCAACTTCTTTTTTTTTTTTTTTGAGATAGCCCCCAACTTCTAAAAACCAAATTAAAATAGACACACACACACACACACAATTTAAAAGGTAACAAAACATACCAGGTACCATAAAAATCATTTTTCAAATTTACCCTAATTTCAAGAGATGACTAAAAGCTGAGTCAACAAGATGTTTGCTGCTAGGCTAAGAATAACACCAATAATCAAAATCAATCTCAAGAGTCAATACACGTGTCAGTAAGTGAACAGTTTGAAATTTTAACATAGTAATAGACAATCAAAATAACCAGGAAGATTTCAAAACATGAAACACTTGAGATACGATTTTAAGTCAAAAGAAAATGTATACTCTGATTACATCTTTATAAATGATTTGTTGTTAAACCAAGAATAATCCCCATCCTGACCAAATAAATAAATAAAGTTTATGGAAATTCTCAGCTTTACTTTTCCTTTTATAAGAGGTTTATTTATTTATTTATTTGTTTATTTATTGGCTATATACAGGGCATGCACTCACCAGAGAGATAGGGAGACAGAAAGTCAGAAATCACTCCTGGTGGGGGGGGGTGGTTGCCATGCCACAATCCCTTTCCCTCCATTCTCCTCTCAGGATTTTGGGCATGCACACACATGAACCTGTCATGAGTTTTTTCTTTCTTTTTTTTTAATAGTAATTATTTTATTTATCTTTATTCATTTATTTTAATTTGACCAGAGGGGAGGGAGGAAGGGAAGGAGAGAGAGAGAGAGAGAGAAAGCAAGCTGTCAGGTCCGGGACTCGAACCATGGTTGACCATATGGGAGTCCAGTGCCCTTAACCACCACACCACCTGCGTCAAGTCCAATCACTGCCCCCCTCCTCATGAGTTTTTTTGTTTGTTTGTTTTGGAGAGGTTTTTACTATAGGGCGTGTATGCTCACCAGACAGACAGAGAGAGACTGAGAGAGAGAAAGCGAGAAATCACTCCCCAGGGGTGATTGGCCACGCCGCAATCCCTTCTCTTCTATTCTCCTCTCGGGATCTTGGGCATGCACGCACACGTGCCCAGCAAGAATTTAAGCCACCGGGTCTGGGACTCAAACCACAGTCAACTACGTGGGAGTCCAGCAACATAGCCATTACACTAACTGCTGGTCCCCCTCCTCATGAGTTTTAAGTCACCAGGTCTAGGACTCAAACTGTGGTTGACTGCATGAGAGTCCAGCATACATAACAATTACACCATCTTCTGGTCCCCTTTTATTTAGATAATTATTTTTATTTAATTTTATTTATAAATCACTATTTTATATATATAAATATGTGTGTGTGTATGTATGTATGTGTGTGTGTGTGTGTGTGTGTGTGTGTATATAAATTTGCTACAGGGTATATTGGCTCATTTGCTCACCAGAGAGAGAGAAAGAGAAAGGGAAGGAGAGAGAGAGAAAGCAAGTCTCCAGGCCTGGGATTTGAGCCATGGTTGGCCATGTGGGAATCCAGCACCTTAACCACCATTCCACCTGTTCGTACCTCAGATATGTTTTCCAAAATTCCTTTTATTATTTTTTTAACTTAAAAAAGAAAATAAAAGGTACTTGAGAACTGAGAGGCCCAGAGAAAATAATGGCTTTCTTAGAAAAAGTCAACTGAAATGTCATTTCATTTAACTCCTGTGCATCCTGTGTTCTAGCTCACATTGCTGTGAGTGAGAGAAATACAAAGTAAAACCACAAGCTTGATTCTGCAATTACTTTATTTCTTTTCAAAATCTTCTTCTATTTCTAAAGTCACAGGACCTCAGTAACAAGTTTAGAAAAACTACTATCCAACAAATAAAAATCAGGATTACACTTAGACAAGGGGACTTCTCCAATATCTTTCACCACGTAGATGTTTAAAAAATATTATATTGAAAGCTATCTTCTGTCAGGCTATATATAGGTTACTTGTTCCTGAATACTTCATCTGAATTTTAAATGTTATTTCGGATTAAAATAAGTAAAAATTCATTCTCAGCTAAAACATGAGCTTTTTTAACCTAGTTAATCCTACATATCCTATTTTTAAATTTTTATTTTTTTAATTATTTTAAATGTATTTATTTACATTCACTCACTATACATCATTACAGTATACAAAATGAGATTTTCCATTCAGAATAATGCTACATATCTTCTTTGCTCACTTAATACTTCACATAGAAACCCCTTTCAATGAATTATTAATAGCACTTCTCACACTTGCCCTCTGCCTCCACCCCGGTGTCTGGGCTCTGGAGAGAACCAAGTGGCCCCAAACCCTGGAAGAACACGAAAACCAACGCTGTGTGTGACTTGGCAGGCTGCAGCTCTGGAAAGAGCCATGCCATTGTGAGACCGACTCTAAAGCTGTGGCTGAGTGTCTGTGGAACTGAACCAAAGTAAACGCTCCCAACGGCCTCGCAATCTCCTCACGCCACGCTGTTCGCGAGCTGTGGCTCTGGTAACAGCTCTGCCCTTTTGAATAAAATTAAAACACTTCACTGCAAGCATGCCTCATCCACACTGGCTGCCTGGAGGGCCTGCACTGACTCCCTGGAATGGTCTGATAAAATACTTCACATATGGGTCATCTAACTTGCCGGTTTTCATCTTAACATATAAGGAAATGCAGTAGGCAAGTAGAAATGCTAATAAATACATGAAGGGGTGCTCCTTCCCTGTGAATTGTATTGTAGAACGATCTCTCCCAGAAGGCCTTTCATCTGCAGATACCAAAAAGACACTCGGAACAACACCTGCACGGACATTTCTATTTTTGTGAAGGTTCGAGATGGCTGTAATATGGTAAAAACACGTTAGACTGTGTGTGGAAATCTTGACACATTCCTGAAAGCTCCCTGATGAAATATTATTTTCCCAAGGATGGATATTAGCTTCATCAAAAACTAAAGTTAAAATTTCCAGCAGGTGGTGTAGTAGTTTGGGCACTGGACTTCCGCAAGGTCGACCTTGGTTCAAGTCCCATATCCAGCAACTTGAAGCTCACACCAAACGCATGTGCAAGCGTGCCCAGAACCATGAGAGGAGAATGGAGAAGGGACTGCAGAGTGGCCATCCCACTAGGGGAGGGGGGGTGTAATTTCTCACTTTCTATATCTGTCTCTTTGGTGAGTGCACATGCCTTACAGCAAAAATCTCTCAAAAAAAAAAAGAAAATCCCATTTTTGGGTCAGCAGGGAATGTGGTTGTTGGGGTCCTGGGCTTCTACATGTTTGACCGTGGTTAGAGATCCAGACCTGGCAACTTGCTTTATCTCTCTCTTACTGGTGAGTGCAAATTTAAAATAATAATAATATTAATAATAATAATAATAAAATGGATAATTCTTTTAAAAATATTTAAAAATAATAAAATTCCCATTTGATACAATGACCAATTTCATAGCAGAATTCTACCCTAAGAAACTGGGTAACTTGAGGTCACATTCTAAATACCAAAAACCAAATCATGCCCTTTGTGGAATAAGTTCTTTCCTTTTTACAGAGGTTTTTGCCCTAGGGCACATGATGTGCTTGCTAGAGAGAAAGAGAGCCAGTGAGACAGAAACA